ACCAGGAACCACCCTCTGGGAAAGTTGAATGGTCCAATGGGCTGTTGAAGGCCACCCTGAGAGCAATGGGGGGTGGAACACTCAAGAATTGTGACACCAACTTGGCAAAGGCCATTTGGTTGGTTAATACCATGGGATCTGTCAATCAAGCTGGCCCTGCACACTCAAACCTTCTACAGTCTGTAGAAGTAGATAAAGTCCCTGTAGTACATGCCAAAACTATGCTGGGAAAAACAGTTTGGGTTACTCCCACCTTGGGGAAAGGCAAACCCATCCATGGGGTTGCTTTTGCTCAAGGACCTGGGCACACATGGTGGGTAATGAGAGAAGATGGAGAAGTCTGCTGTGTGCCTCAGAGGGATTTGATCATGGGAGAAAATAGCCCATAAGTTACAGTGCATGAGGGACATAAATTGCTGCCACTAACTCCTGTTCTGAGCTTTATGTTACAGTCAGTTGTTATGGCAGAAACCACCCCACCTTACAGAGCTCCAGCCTTGCCAGAAGCGCAGCAGTGACCTGGCCTGAGCTGGCTTCAGTGCCCAACAATCCCATGCAACCCTTCGACCTTTCCTGTCCTGAGTGACCCCCATGCCTGATGGAACCTGAATTCATGGACTAACGGACATGCTGCCAAGACGGTCCATAGACTAAGGGAATGATATCTGTGTGGGATGGGATGGGAAAGGCAGGGCGGGCTATGGATGGAATAGCGTGGGATGTGATCATGATGTGAACGGTATGAAACAAGGGATGGATAATGTCCTGGTCCCAGGCAGCAATGAGCTGCTCTCCTGGGGCCAGTCTATAAGATTTAGTTTCATTCCATAATACATCAAACTGAGCAGTCACTGTTACCCCCGCGCTGGCGGCGCTAGGAGCGGGCTGGGGGGAAGCTTGCAGAGACTGGACCCGGAAGGTGCGTAGGGGAGCTGCCCTGGAAGTTCCAGTCAGCAGTGTGGCTTTTTACCCACAGCATGTTTTTCTTCTCTCTCGGCAGCAGTGCAGTCTTTGTCCGGACCTTGTGTTGGGTGATCAGCAGACAGTTAGCGTCTGTTGTCAGGCAGACTGCTCTGGGAAGGGGCAGTTGTAAGTTTTCTTTCCCCCTGCCCTCGGCTCCTGGGCTCAGGGAGGGGGTTTTTCTCCTCAGGGTTGGATTTATTTTTACTTGCTGGAAACTGGCTCTGGCTGAGTCTGCCCATGGGTCATGAGATCCTGTATCATTTGTTCTATTTTTCTGTTCTTTTAATTACTCGTTAGCAGTAGCATTGTTAGTAACTCCATAAGTTTCATTTATATAATTAAACTGTTCTTATCTCAACTTCTACTAACCTCCCTTGTTTTTCCTCTGACCCTTCCTCACTGGGAGTGAGGCGGGTATGGAGTGGTGGAGACACTGGTGGTGCTTAATTGTCCAAGAGGGCTAAACCACAATAAACATACTCCCAGCAAGTTTGCTGACGATACCAAACTGGGAGGAGTGGCTGGCACACCAGAAGGCGGTGCTGCCATCCCGCGTGGGACAGGTTGGAGAGCTGGGTGGGGAGAAATCTAATGAGATTCAATAAGGGCAAGTGTAAAGTACTGCATCTGGGGAAGAACAACCCCATGGATCAGTACAGGTTGGGGGCTGTTCTCTTGGATGGCAGCTCTGGGAAAAAGGACCTTGGAGTCCTATTGGACAACAGGATGACCATGAGCCAACAGTGTGCCCTCATGGACAGGAAGGCCAATGGCATCCTGGGGTGCATTAAGAAAAGCGTGGCCATCAGATCAAGAGAAGTTATCCTCCTCTTCTACTCTGCGCTGGTGAGACCTCACCTGGAGTACTTTGTCCATTTCTGGGCTCCTCAGCTCAAGAAGGACAAGGAGCTACTGGAGAGGGTCCAGCACAGGGCCACTAAGAGGATTAAGGGCCTGGAGCACCTTCCATATGGGGAAGGGCTGAGAGAGCTGGGGCTGTTTAGCTTGGAGAAGAGGAGACTGAGGGGTATCTTATCAATGCTTATCAGTATCTAAAGGGTGGGTGTCAGGAAGATGGGTCCAGGTTCTGCTCAGTGGTGTCCAGTGACAGGACTAGGGGCAATGGCCATAAACTGGAAAACAGAAGGTTCAACCTGACCATGAGGAAACCCTTCTTCCCTGTGAGGGTGACAGAGCCCTGGAACAGGCTGCCCAGAGAGGGGGTGGAGGCTCCTTCCCTGGAGACTTTCCAAAGCCACCTGGACTTGTTCCTGTGTGATCTGCTCTAGGGGATCCTGCTCTGGCAGGGGGGTTGGACTAGATGGTCTGTAGAGGTCCCTTCCAACCCTGACCACTCTGTGAATCTGTGAAAGTTTGTATGTTTTTTTACATTGTCTTAACTACTAAATTAGTGAAATGGTTCTTTTCTTTGGGGAGGTCTACAGTTGATTGCACATCTGTACCATTTTCACTTACAAATCTTTACTGAATACACAATTTTATTACTGCTAGGACAAGATCCATTTTTGTCTAGATACAGAGATTCCATTCTCCTGAATCTAGTCACTCTCTCAGGAGGTTATAGTCTGATTTCCCTAATCCATTGTGAAAACAGACCTTTAAGTAACTAACAAATGCCCTTAAATCTCCATTTCTAATCTTTACATTTCAGCTACTAAAGAAATTTATGGTTGTGATCAAAGCCCCTAAATTGATTGGGAAAAGTATTCCCTTTCCATGAAACACTAAAACTGCCAGGAGAGGAAGCATAAAAATATATTAGTCTTGGTCTAAATAGTCCACAGTGTCTTTTCACATAAGGGAATCATTCCCTTCACATCTTCTTCAGTAAAAGCCATAATGAACCACTCTTCAGGGCAGCTTCTAAAGTTTATCTACTTTCTGTAAAAGTATAAGATAAGCTGAAGAATGAGAGGAGGAGTTCTCAGGGTGAATGTGAATATTTTTCTATAAACCTAGTTTTTCTTACTGTGGAAACATATGGAACGCAGTGAAGACCTTTTGCATAGTGTACAGTGACACTGGAATCACTAAGCTATCTAGAACATTGAATAGAATTTTTTAGCCTGAAATTTAAAAATTATGTTTTAATACGAAGATAGAATACTAGGCCAACTTCATCACATATGAGATGTACTAGCTGTACAAAGATAAGATTTTTCAGCAATAAGGTCTAGGCATTTGTATCTTTGGAAAGTATCTTGAGAGTACTTTTATTGCCCCTCTACAATACCTTATTTTTTCTAACATCCACATAAAATGTGTGCTGAGCTGAGTTCTTTGGCTACCACAATAAAGCCTAACCATTGTTCCTAAAACTAAGAATCATCCTGAAATTCCACAAGTTTGTGCCAGCAGTCACATCCTGAAACTGTGGGGGGTGCTAGTAATCACCATCTTCTCCTCACTTCTGTCGCACAAGTCACTCTAAAATAAAGCCAAATGCACAACTGAAATTTCTTGCTTTAGCTCTTGTTCTGTACACACCTGGAAAGTACAGTCAAAGCTGCAGTCTAATGTGGAGTTTAATATTAATTAAATGGGAAAGATGGTGTACCCTCTGCTTCCCAGCTTCAGTAAACAAGTCCACACAGTGTATAATCCAATCTTAAATCTCTCAGTTTAAAGAAATAGGTCCAATAAATGCAGTTAATTGCCTTACATAAATACTTGTGAATTGAAGAACATATTGCTGTTAGTTTCTCTTATGTTTGCCCTTTCAAAGCTGACATGTTCTTAAGTTAGAAATGCTAGTCTTTGTAACTATATTATGTGTCATGTTGCCTTTTTAGTTACTGAGCACTCAGGACTCACAATCACAGATTCATTGTCACAAGGAAACTGGAGGACAACTTGTCAATCAGTTGTCTTTGAAGGATCTCCTAATTCCACTTTCATCTGAAATTCTTCAAGGCAACCTTAAACAAACACAAAGAAAGCCTGAGCAACAAACCAAAAAACCCAAAAATAAGAAACCCAAAGGTTCATATTCTCCTCACTCTCTTCCCACAATTCATGACAACAGTAGCATGCAAAGCAAATATGCCTTACCAAGTTCTGTTACGTAGGTTTTTCCTTCTGAAGGTAAAGGAATGTACTGATTAGAGAAGAAGTTGCTTCCATAACCCAGGACAAAGCCTTCTAGTTTGGTGTTTTGACTTGGTCGAAGATACCTCATGCAAACAGTGTCATCTGTTGCATTGATCTGAACTTTCAGACTCTGCCTTTTTACTGGAGAAAGAGAAAAAAAAAAAAAAGGTCAGAATATATAATATTGTAACCATATATTCAACAATATGACTATGTAACAATACAGGGCTGATCCATTCGCTAGTCACAAGCAACTGAATAATTGGTTAAAGGTGGAGTCTCCTAGAAACGAAGTGCATTTAAGTAAGTAAACTAAGTAATGTAAAATTGTGGTTTCTAGTATGTCTGGTTTTCCATCATTAGTTTAGTACTACTATTAGCTGTAACATTTTCTACAATAGCAGTAGTAGAAAATTACATGGAATAACAGAAAAAAAGGCAAGTATTTTTTCCTTTAAAAATGGGCATTATAGTTGTAGTAGTAGGTCTATATAGAACCCGTAAGTGAAAAACTGAAAGTTCGATTTTTATTTTTGTGTTAGTAAAAAGATGAATTTTGAACATTGAGTTACATACTGCAAAATTAGGGTAGAGAATAAATAGTAACTAGATCCACATAAAAATGTTACAACTGGGATTTTGTGGGTTTTTTTGGGTTTTGGTTCATTTTTTTTTCACTATGTTGGGCTGGAAATGTAATTTTCTCATTGGAATTACACCAGGATACCTAACCAACATATAGACTTTACTAAAAATTACCAAGAAACTCTTTTTAAGCATTCATTTTTATGCTTTCCAGGGGAGCAGCACATAAAGCAAGAAACATCTTGTATATCCATCTACAAAAATTTAACTTATAACAACAGCGGATGACTTCATAACAGAATAATCAATTTTTTAGACTACAAAAAGGTGTTTCGTCTTCTCTTGGTGGGGTGAGGGAGGATTGGCTTTTCCTTCCCTGGTACTTACAATTTTAATACTCCCTTGTTACTGTTAGCCTTATCATATTTTCAGAACTGTTGAATGTCAATGCTTAAAAAAGATAATGACTTTTCCACAAACTTATGACACTAGCACTAGAATAGTATATTTTGAGTTATTACATCTCATTCTCAAAGTATAAATTTTTATTCCCTACAGATTTTCAGGCATCTCTCCAATCATGAGGGCTGAAATTAACTTTTCAGGAAAAAGCGGAGATTTGCACAAAATCATTTCACTTCAAGAGCTACGTCCTGAAGAAAAACAACAGGAGATGTATGACCTGTCATTAAACAACAGGGTAGAGCAATACTGAACTTCCTTTTGTTTTTCTCTTCCCTCGATCTAACTCCCTTCCTTCTTCTTTCCCTCAATAACTGCAGACTGATATTCAAAGTTTCTTTAGACAAGTACATACTGACTCTCTGGTATCACCCCAGCCTACCACACCCCCAACCTCCCCCCAACCCACCCCCCCCTTTTTTTTTTTTTTTGAGAAATTCTAATGACTGGAGTTGTTGAGAGGTCACAATCCCCAACTTGAGAAGATGATTAACTAGTACCGTCGAGCACCTGCCGTTGTCTGCACACTGAATGTGAAGACATAAGCCAAACACTTCAAGCCTCTTCCCTTTATAGAAACAAGTGTACAAGTAAAACTGATGGAAAACACGTGCCTCCGATGAGACCCTTCCTTTATCTAAAGACTGATCAAGTAAAAACACTCAGCCAGGAAACTGTCACAATTTTCCAAAGGCAACTCTCTCAGGTTCCAGAAGACTGCAAGGCTTCTAGAAACTCAACACTGACATTTTTAGCAGTACAATACCATCACAGCAAATGGGGTTGCAGTTGCTTCCTTATCTGGAACACATCCTAACTTCTTTTATTCTCAGTATATGAAACTGCTGTGGGTGTACAGCTCTGAATTGCAACAAGGCTCCAAATAGCAGAAACCAGGAAGAAAACCCAACAGACTTCAAACCCCTCTAATATGCTACATAAAGATGCTTAGGAAAAAGCATTCCATGCCAACAAAGTTTAGGATTATTAGCTGATTGGAAGTGAACTAGGTTTGTTAAAATTATGTGGCCTGCAAAACTCAAACCTAACTTTGGAGATCTGAGCATAAATGAAAGGATGGTCTCCTGGTCTGCAATGAATATTCGTGTCTGAGAAGAAAGCAAGTCTTCTATTACTTGATTCAGATATGAGATAATAATTTGATTTCAGTATTAAAATTCTTAATCAGACCAAAACTAGATTTAAAAAAAATTCAGTGAAGATCTATTTAAATGTTTAATTTACATTTTTTTAACACAATTGTTTCTCTAGATCTGTCAGTTATATTTTACATTAATTTGAAGACCTAATTCTAATTCAAGATTGAATCAACTGTGTTTGATTCCAATTAGAGAGATACTGTGTTTAGTGACAAAGGTCTTGAATTTATTTAAGCCTAGAAACTGTCAGTGAAGTTTCTAAACCCAGAAATTCTAAATGGGATCCCAAGACAGGAACAGCTTTGAGGCAGGACCCCTTAGACCTTCATAGCTAATATATAACCACAAGAGAGCTTTTAAACTCAAAGACAGTTCCTTCTGAACATAAACAGGAACAATGTATTTTTAAAAATAGAGAATAAGGCAGAACAGAAGAAAAGATTAACTTAAAATGTAAAAAATAAATCTTTATCCTCCCCTCACTGCCTTGACAGGGCAGGTCCTTTCCTTCTAGTTCACTTTTAATTACCGGATCCTTTCAGTGATGGCCTGGATGGCAACAAATACTTCAGAGTCCCGGCAGTGTTCAGGAAAGATCTTCTCTCCTTCAAGATGTAGCTACAGGGTCTGTTCCATACTCTTCTTAACATACCTATCTTCAACCCCTTCTATAAGCTCCTTGCTTATTATTTCCTTCTCTCCACACAGCATAAGTTTCTCTAGCTAAGAGGGTTCAATTGATCTCAGCACTTCTTCACTGTCATTTAGCTTCATGTTTTTAAAGGAAAATAACTGTGATAACAACACAGATGCTACACTCGATATGACCAAACCACATTCCCTACCATGGGCTGTGTGCATTCCACAATTACAGAAATGGTGGGATGAATTTTAACTGGTAAAACAATAACTATCAGGGGCTGACCAATTTCTGGACGTGCATGGACAATGTGGAGCAACCAAAGCCAACACTGACAAGTTTTTCTATCCGAGGCAACAAAAGCTCCTGACAAGTGGGAACCTGAGTTTGCTGGAAACTGTAGCTGTTGAGTGAGAACACTTGAGTTCCAGAGACTAAAAGACTACACAGGGGACAAAATCAAAGAGTGATGAGGACAGAAAGAAGCCAGCAAGCACAGAAAGTTCTCTCTGTCATGGCAGAAGTAACAATGCATGGTAGACCACTCCTGGTATGGACTCTGTGCAGGGAATGACATGTCTCCCCAAACCAAGTCAGTGTGCTACTTAGTCACCTTCACTGGGTTTGCATGGCAAGGTTTTGGTAGTGGGGGGACTCAGGGGTGAGAAGCTGCTAGAAGCCTCTCCTGTGTCTGATAGAGCCAATGTCACATGGCTCCAAGGCAGACCTGCTGCCCGACCCGGCCAAGCCAATCGCAGTCATAACACCTCCACAATAACACTTTTAAGAAAGGAAAACAAAACCCAGAAGAAGAGGGAATTTTTGCAGACAGGAGAAGCACAAGATGTGTGAGAGAGAACCCTGCCAACACCAAGGTCAGTGGAGAAGGAGGGGGAGGAAGTGCTCCAGGCACCAGAGCAGAGATTCCTCTACAGCCTGTGATGCAGACCATGGTGAAGTAGGTTGTGTCGCTGCAGTCATGAAGATCCATGGTGGAGTAGGTGGATGCCTGAAGGAGATTGTGACCCCATGGGAAACCTGCTCTAGAGCAGGTTTGCTGGCAGGACTTGTGACTCCATGGGAAACCTGTCCTGGAGCAGTCTGCTCCTGAAGGACTGCACCCCATGGGAAGGACCCATGCTGGAGCAGTTCATGGACTTCAGTTCATGGGAAAGACTCACGTTGGTAAAGTTAATGGACGACTGCCTCCCATGAGAGGGATCCCATGCTGGAGCAGGGGAAAAGTGGGAGAAGGCCTCCCTCTGAGCAGAAGAGGCAATGTGTGATGAACTGACCATAACCCTTACTCCCCATCCCCCTGTACTACTTAGAGGGAGGAGGTAGAGAAAAGCGGGAGTGAATTTGAGTCCAGGAAGAAGGACAGAGTGAGGAGAAGGTGTGTTAAGATTTGTTTTTTTAACTTTTTTGACTCTGATTTTGACTGATGATAAATTAAATTAATTTTTTCCCAAGCTGAGTCTGGTTTGCCTGTAACTGCTGAATGATCTCTCCCTGTCCTGATCTTGAGCCGTGAGCCTTTCATCATATTTTCACTCCCCTGCCCAGCCGAGGAGGGCAGTGACAGAGCAGCTTGGTGGGCACCTGGCCTCCAGCTGGGGTCAACCCATCACACCATCAGTCCAGCTCTTCTGCCTGCCGACAGATTAGCACTCCAACATCTTTCCAGGAGCCCTTGCACTCTTCCAACAACTTTTGTGCCCATCTACACACAGTATACTCTTAGCATCATAAATCCAAACACAAAAACCCATGAAGAAACCCTCTTTTGTTACAGGTGACTACATTAAAAAGAAATAGTTCTTAAAGAATCAAAAATAGAAGCTAACATGTTCCAGACTCAAGAAGGTCACATGAATTCAAAGGAGACCTGGACCCTTATGAACAAATTCAAGCATTTCCTGACTCTAAAAGGAAAAAGCAGCTTTGTGAAGGGGATGGTAATTCCAACTCTGCTACACTGGTCGGAATTAAAAACAAGCAGAAAAGCCTCCCATGAAAACGTAACAAAAACGCAAGTCATATTAAGGCCTACAAGGAAGGCCCACCTGGTCACTGAGAATCCTTGGAGCAGACAAGAGGCATACAGGGAGGGCACAGCAGCGCAGAGGGACCTCTGCAGCCAGCCGGGAAAAACTCAATGTTGGGTGCTGCACAGGCACTGCCAGTCTAGTCAAGAGAGGAACAGCCTGGAGCAGTACAGCTATAAAGCGCTTCATGTCAATTAACTTGGTAAATGGGGACTCAGGAGCACATTAGCAAAGTAGATCTCAGTT